AGTGATTGCTTAGGCAAGTGCTCTGCCCTCTGAGGCTTTGTCCTTTTGGTTTCTGTGTTAGTGGGAAAGGAGAGCTTTGGGGGCTTGGGAAGCCAGACCAGGCTCTGCATCATCCTGCAAGCTGCCTGCCAGGGCCAAACCTTGAGGGGAAGAGGTGGGCTTGCCTTCATACAATTGTACTTTAGGAAAGGTTTCGTTGAGAGATATATACTAGATAATAATGGAAAACTTCTGATTTTCCTTATATTTAAAATATCTCAAATTACTTCTTCCTTATAAACACATGTGCACCTCTCCCATATCTACACAAATATATATATTTATATGCATACACACGTATATATATGTATGTGAAAGAAGCCAGATAACTTCTCAGATGACAGTGATGCCATCTACTGTCTTCTTAACTTACTGGCAGTATTTTGTTGAACTTTGTTTCTTTATTATTCCTTAAAAAAAAAAAAAAGGTGTGAAAGTTGCATTTGAAATTACTTAAATTAGTCTATCAGATAAGCTTCACTTCAAGTTGATTTCCAGCATATTAAAAATGCACATATTCAATAGCAAGGTACTTCTGCAAAAATGTTTTGATTTCCTCTCCTAGTCTTTAAGTGTTTTTTTCTTGTTTAAAGAACCAGCTGACAGGTGAATGATACTATCTGGTAATATGTTCATTGAGCAGCTTAGGAATTGCACTGCAAAAGTTTATCTGGTGGGTGTCTTCCATACCCAGTGCTCCACTGCAGTATAACAAGGTGCAAGCTGGCACCTTGCTGCAGGCTCAGTGCAGCCAGTGCTCGGTCTGGCCGTGGCAGTGCTAGAAGTAACTAAGGACCAAGCTTGGTCTGTGCATGCTTACAAACCGTCATTGCTCTAGCATATTTTAAGCAGAACCCAATTAGCAGCACTCAGCTCAGGAGCAGCCATTTGAGCATAGGTAGGTCTGCTTCTCTTTCTGCTTTGTGTGCTACCTGCAGGGTTATTCACTGCAACTCGTGTCAAAGTAGCACCGTGCTCAGCTCAGCGCCCCGCTCCATTCCAGCGTGGCAGCACCCAGCCCCGACCCAGCAGGGTGTGCTGCCCCCTCCTCCCCCCCTCCCCATACTCACAGTTGTCCGAGTAGGGCAGCAGGGAGGGAACTGGAGAGTCAGGAACCTGTACAGCCACCAGCCGGGACAGTCCGAGTCCTCGCAGCCTTCACTGCCTCCCTATATAGAGGAGGAGAATCTTGTCAGTGGGGAGGGGCCCTGCAAACCACGTCCTGCTGGAAAATCCTCCCAGTACCTGGGTTAAAACACCCGGTCTCAGACAAGGAGCTCGTTGCCAACAGGGCCCAGCCCAGGACCACTACCCTTGCCCCCATCTGCCCTTCAGCAAAGCAAACTGGGTCTGAAATCCCTTGCTTTTGGGAAGGCCTCGAGGGGTGCCCTCAGGTTCAGAACTTTCGCTTGTTCTTGGAGGTGCAACTCTTTGGCCAAGCAAATGGACCTTTTAACTCCTTCCTGCCTTGGCAGCATCCTTACCTCTCCACCCTGCTGAGGGTAAAGGACAGGCCCTGGTCTTGTGGGGCACAGGGAATTCCTACCTACCTCAGTGCCTTTTCTTGGAGCTGAGTGGAGGGGCAGCTTGGTGTGTATGGGGGGGACATTCCTGATGTGGCAAGGGTGGCTGTGGGGTCTCCATGTGTTTGCATGACACTGGGCACCAGGGGCTGGTGTCAGCCTCCCTGGCCCCTGGGGTATACAAGGGATGTTTCCCAGTTTCCCAGCAGATTTGCCAAAGTTTCTTTTGCCAGCCAGCATGCAGCAAAGTTTCCAAGAAAGCACCGTAAATACATTTTCATATATGAGGAATACCTCCCTCTGTCCATAAATGGAAGAAGAGAAGTGATAAATAGCTGAGGGGGAGCAGCCATGGGGATGTGGTGGAAAGAGTGGGCAGCAGCACTGTGTGAGGGGGGAGAGGAGGACAGGGAGTGTGAAACCAGCCTTGGGGCTGGGGAGGGATCTGCTCCTCGTCAAACCTCCCTCACAACCCTGAAACTTTCAGTCCCTGGCTGTCCCCCCTCCTCCTGCCATGAGTAGCCAACAGCCATGTGCAGAGAGACCTGGGGATGGAGACATCCCAAAAAGGGAAAGTAGGATCCTCTAGGAATTCCCATCAACATGCCAAACACAAAATACCGAAACATCCCCCTCTCAGCAACAGACTAAATATGGTGTATACCCAAAGGATCAGAGCACGGTCCTGGCTGAAATAATTTCTCTTGACAACAGTCGTGTCTAAAAAATATGCTCTGCTGGGGAAAATGGATGAGACTCATATTGGTCTTGGCATCCTAGGAAAATACCTACGTGGGGAGGCTGGGCTGAAAACTCCAGTGTAAGCAGCAGTGCCTGCAGGTGTGATGGACCATATGCACCATCAGACCCTGTTTCCAACACTGGACAGTGATGAGCAAATCTGGGCAAACAGGAGAGAGTGGAAGAGTATCAGGGCTCCTTCCCCACCACGTTGCAGAAATTCCAGCTGTATTGTAAGAAGCGGGTGAACACTCCATTTGCTCATGCAGTTACATGGTTTCAGCCTTTGCATAAAACCGGAGGGTCTGCCTCAGGAGGTGGGGTCTGCACTGCACTGCAGTCCAGCAAAGCCGTGTCCAGATGAGACTCATGTGTGTTTGACTGGGTTGGAATGAAGCCAGGAGAAATGATATCCAGATGTCAATCGAAGAAGCTCGCCCTTCTTAGCAGAAAGCTCCTCACTGTGAGTTTACCCTATTCATTTTGCAGTTTCTCTGTTGCAAGCGTAGCTTTTACATAGGAACGTAATGAACAGAAAATACTGAAATGCAAGGGCATCCTCTGAAAAGCATGATCTTTTTGGCATTCATCACAGTTATCCTAAGAAGCTTCTTGTAAACCTACCCAGCTGTTTCACAAAACCAGATGCATTTTAATAGTAGCTTAAAAAGGAGTGGAAATTATTCCTGCTGGTTCGCAAACCACTGCATGTGCACATGCAGGCTTGGTGCCCAAGTAGTGTGTTTAAAGAGGCAGTGGTGGAGGGTGATGTATGATGTGACATTAAACCGAGCTGGAAAGTTTAAAAAAATATTCCTGCTGTGCCTGGAACAGTTGCACTTTTGAGCTGTGTGGGGTAGGAAGTGATAAGTGTAAGCCTGGTTTCAACCTTCCTTTACAAGTCAGCATAAGAATACACACACTAATAAAATACCCCGGTTGGAGTTTCCCTGTCGCTGCGGTACTTCGTAAACTGAAGGTGCATCAGACTGAATGCAGTGGAGTCCCCGTGGACAGTGCTTTTGTTATAAGAAAACAAGCTTTTTAAAATTTACTTTTCTAGAAATAATAAAGCCTATCCTTTAACTGTCTCCTGAATCTGCACAGTAAATGTTGTGCTTGGAAAAAAAAAGGGGCTTCAGAGGGAAATAAATGAGCTTTCAGCTGCCTCACTATGTGTAACCTGAATCGCAGACAGGAGGAATACATCATGGTGATAAGTTAGGTTCTTAACTAATGTCAAGAAAGCAAATTGTTTGTTTAGAAATAATTTCACTTAAAAATGGACTATATTTCTTTGAGCTGGCGTGCAGTGGGAAGCAGAGAGGTGCTTTTGCAGCAGGAGAGGCAGTCTGCATCCAAACCAGAACAGTTAATGACATGAGGAGTCTGACATGGCAAAGGAGTCAGGAACTGCTCAGGGTAAACGTGCTTAGTACTGGACTCAGGTCAAGTGAAGTGTGTGAGGCAGAGATGTCAATTCTTCATCGGCTGCTACTGAAAGAGTGAGCAAATATTTTTGGTTTTTTTTCTTCCTAAACATGATCACCAACTGGTAATCACTCCTCCGGAAAACCAATCTACTAATACCAAAATTCAGGTTGATACAGAGCGTGCTCAGGAAGGAAAGTGCAACTGAATCCTTGGGGCTTGTTGATAAAGCTTACAGAAAAAGTTCTGCCATGCACAACAGAAACGAATCCCTCCAAAACAGCACTGTGGACTATGCACACAGTTTCCTCTAAATTTAGGGGAGAGCAAATATTTGGTATTAAAGAATCTTTTTGAAACTCATGGATCAAGTTCTTCCAAAGTGCTTTCCAGATCTGATATTCACACCAAACCATGCTGGCTCCTTGTCACCTCCACTTTTGATATCACATGCAGACGAAGAACAGCCTCTTTTGATGTAACCCCCACGCATAACAGTCTCACTTACATTGTTCTAACTCTGATAAAATTCAGAAATGCATTCAGCTCACCAAAAACGTGGAACTTCTAAATCCTTGTATCTTTTTCTCATTTTCTGGTATCAGTAGAAAGAATTAGGGCACTCAGTGCAAGATGTTACAGTCTGTAATTTAGCAAGACAGAACTTCTTAAGTTGTTTGAGAAATTTTTTTCCTTGCACACCTAGAAGTAAATTGCATCTAAAATCTGAAGTTGGAACTGTGAATTACTTTCATCTAAATACTGGCCTCGCTTACTTGGAACTTCTAAGGAATGTTTTGTACATTTTGTACAGAATCCATTTTGTACAGAATTTGCACCTCCTCTTCTTAAGCAAGTAAAGGCAGTCCAGCACTCATAGAACTCACTGCATGTCCACATCTTGAAAGATCAGATTCCAGGTTCTCTCGAGACAAGTGTCAGACATTAATAATTAGGCCAGTATATTTTCACAGACATATTTCAAAGCTTCGTTATACAAATGAATGCCATGGACAGTACACTTTAATTTGATTTTAATTTGCTTGTACAATGACTGTACTTTCAAATAAGATTATTCCAAAACTCCAAATCTGCAACGTGTTGGTATTAAGGCAATTAGGTGAAATGCATGTTGCACAACAAAGCAGACGCACCAACTCCAGCTCCTGTACCAGCACAGCATCTTGACAATGGACAGAAGCTGCAGTTCCTGAAGAAAATGGTTTTCAGTTTTCTGTTTTAAACAAATTTCTGCTCTGATTTCAGATATGCACCTTTACCTCAAAGCTTACTGAAGCACACCCTTGTAACAACCTCTGCTTTCATGGCTGTGGAGACAAAGAGGACGCTGAGCTGTGTTACTGGGGAAGGTCAAGTACCAAATTTCCCCTTATCTTCTTTCACGAGAACAAAAATTGTATCTAATTTCAGCAGCTAAAATTCCAGGCAGCTCCACGGCACCTGAGCAGCTTCTGTACAATCTATGGTGGGAAGATAGAAAGCAGACACAATGGCTTTGGTTGCCCTGGCAGATTTGCATAGCATAGAAGGTTGTGGCTTCTGTTTTTCAGCAGAGCCTTTTCTTTGCCCTTGAAAAGACAATTCAAATTCCAAATACACTTCGACCCACTGTGTTATGAGAAACAGAAAAATAGGTTATGGACAAACAACCTCTGGAAAACCAAAGTTCAAAATTCAGGAGTTTCTGTGGCTAGAGCAATCATATCCATGCTCTGTGAAAGTTCATTTCTGCAAGTCTCCAGAGAGGCACTTCCAGCTCATTCCAAAATGAAAGTCATTCATAAATAACTTAAAAGACTATTTTTCTGCTGTAATATTAAACAGAGGAATGAAGAGAGAAAATGATTTGTACCAGTGTGGCAGGAAAGAGCCCCAGCAGCAAGGCAGCATACCATGTAGGTTTTATACAGATGGCTCTCCATCTAAGTGGTTGAATGTGTTAGTGGTGGTGGTGGTAACATAGCAAACATTGAGGGCATGCACAAATTTGCTTGTTTCACCCAAGTGTCAGTTATAATTGATGCAAAGCTACCAAAGATTGAAAGATTTGATTAAGATAAATTTGCACACGTCTTCTCCTCTTGGAAACAGTCCTGAGAGACGTACTTCTAAATAAGCAAATGTGGAGCCATCAGCACTGCCAGTCACACACAGGGGAGCAGCTCACTCCCGAGCCTTGAAACGGATGAAAGTAGCTTCTCCTTTAAAGCTGTAGCTGTTCTCTGCAGTTTCACATTAAAGTAGAGCCTAGGCTACTTATCAAAATAAAAAAATACCTACAATGCTAATTGGGTGAAATAAAGACTAAGGGAAAACATCATAAAGACTGCACAACTCCGGCTCCTTTCAGTAACATTTGCAAACTTACATTAACTTCCTTCTCTTTTTTCCCCCAAACATTTGCTGTACCGTTTATTTAACAATTACACAAAACTACTCTCAGTACCACTGGAAACACTAACATGCATGAATTTGTTAAAAAATACATTACGTGGTATTTTTATGTACCACTACAAGGTCTACTTCTATCAGAAAAAACATCCAAATATCTCAGCTAAAAAAAACTCCTGGGAATCAGTAATTAACCATCAACTTCATTTTTAACTCTTCCTGCCTTCACTTTCATGTCATTTGGGAAAAAAACAAAAGTTCCTCCCCCGTCCCATGTATTTAGTGTTACACTGTACAATTTATAGCAACTCCAGATGGAAAAGAGTTACCCTTGTTTGTTTGCTGGCATAAAGATAAATATAGTCCTTGTTTCCAGAGAACTTCAAACAACTATTCCTCCAAAGGACTGCAATTTTCTTTTCAAACTTATTTTCCCATACTTATCTAAGAGTAGCAGGTGCTTCTTCTTACAGAAAAATCATTCCAAAATTATTTCAAATACCAACACAATAAAACTGACCAAAAATATTCAGACACCAGAAAAGGTACATGAAGACATAAAAACAAAAGGGCAGAAATTATAAATATCTAGTAAATTTTTATTTTAAAATATAAGAGAAATATTTTTTAGGCCTAATTCTAGACACAGGCTTGACTAATCTGATTTTATATACAGTTTTCCTTGTATCTTCTGGAGGAAGAATGCCTTTTTGCTAATATTTTTTCACTGGCAGGAATAATGACTTGGTCTTCCTGTCTCGTGGGGAGCTCTAACAAATGGAAATGGTCCCACTGGACACAATGGAAAAATTTACATAATGAAGAATTTCATAAATTAACTCTCCAAGAGCTTTGCAGGGTAAGTGAACATATAAAAGACATCATCACATCATCTCTTCGTGCTTTGCAGAACAAGAGGCTCTTCAATGCTCGTGCCAGCCATCCTTCCTGGTTCTGGAATTCTATCTGAAAATGAAAAATAAGCACACATGTTTTCACACGTTTGGAGAGCCAGAGATGCAACTGTTAATAAGAACTTTGATGTGGAATATCATCATAGCAAGCTCAATTTTACAACTGTGTTTTTTCATCCAACTGCAAGACCAAAGACTGGATCTCAGATTGCTTCAACCCAGCTCTAATGAAGTCAGCTGACAGGAAGGTCTGACTGCAACTTGTATCAACATCCCCGTTCTGTGTACCAGTTTATTTGAATATTCATTCAACAACATAAGCAAGAAGGACAATTCCTAATAGGAAAAGCAAGACAGATGTTAAATATGAGACTGTGAATGCTGAGTATATGAATGCACTTGATTACCTTGATTTCTGATAGGAATAAGAATCTTCTAACAAGAAAGATTAGTTATAGCAGCTTTGGCACTGACATTTTATGTCTTCAGCCCCCTCTACTGGCAGAAGAGCAACAACATCATCTTCATCAATTCAGTATTAAGGAAAGGTGCTTATTCAGTTCTTCCCTTATGCTTTTTAGATACTGCAATAATATCTTAGACTTCAAAATTTTTCAAATTTCTGGATACAAAAGGAATAGATGGTAGTACTATGCTGATAATATTAAATAGTGCAAAATCCCACAGAGCAGAAGGTGAAGCAATATGCCAAACAGACTCCTTGAAAGGGAAAATAAAAGACCAACGATCCCTTTCATTTTGTAGCTTAGGCAATATTAACAGCAACCAGGCAGAGAGCATGAAGGGAAATAAGATTCAGCAGTGCCCTATGGACCAGTGAAGTTGGAGCTTAAGTTTCTGCAGTCGGTGGGACGTGAATTAGATCCTCAGAAAGATTTATTCCTGTACACAGAACTGGCAGCTTAAACATTATGAATGTTCTATAGAAATTATTAGGACAGATGAGAATATTCCACTATTTAATTTATCTTACTAAGAATTTGTGTCAAAATTTCTGTTTTAAATCGCCAGTGTACCAAGACTGCCTCTAGCTGATCCATTCCAGATCTGTAGTTGTGTAAGGAAGTACAGTTTGGCCAGTTTAATGAAAATGGGAAAACAATTTGTTAGGTCCAAATTTAAATGAGTTTTCAGTTTTTCACGGTCCAAAAGAATTAAAAGAATAAAGCTAAACAATTTGGATTTCTCTGCTTCCCTTCACTATAATAGACAGCTGCAGCTACCACACAGTAACAAGAGCTTCGCAGTACCTTTTATGCTGCAAAAAATTATACACATTTTGCTATCCCTGATTTTTAAGAATGCCTGCTTCCTAAATAAAATAGCCATTCCAATAAAATATCCATCTATCTTTCCATTTGTGAGGGCAATCAGATTTGTACACATTACATAGCATTAACATACCAACAGAAGAGAAGCAGACTTGAGAAGCTAAGTTGGGCACTTATTTAAATAAAGGAACATAAAGAGGTCATTTTAGAAATCAGAAGTTAGATCTAGTACAGCTATTCTTAAATGAATATATGAGCAAGAGGGATGGACAGGTCAGATGGCTTATTGGTATTCTGGCACACAAACAATGTCCTACTGAAGAATTTTTTCTATAAAAAAGGTTTCTGTACAAAACATTCCTTGTACAGAGAAGGAAGTACCCTGTGTCCACTCGTGTTTATGCAGTTATCAGCAAATCTAGCTCACAGAAAACCCAGTCGCGAATAAAACTTCTGTGAAGATGACCCTATACTCAGACCCACCTGTTTGATTCCTCTCAGTAGATGGTTTGGCAAAGTTCTGCCTTGGATAACTCAGCAAAGACACCTTTGGAAGAGTACTCTGGGTACTTTCTTCTTCACCATGGTGTAAGAAATGCGATATAATTCCATATAAGAGAGGTCTGCTCAAGGCAAAAATCACAAAAGCCATCTATGAAACATATTAACTACTGAGCACTTAAACAGTCAAACAGCTTCTCCTCAGAAGTTCTTACACCTTAACGTTCACTTCTAAGAATGTTCACATGTCTTCAGAGTAATTATTTAAAATTCATTACGGTAAATGCAATTATATAAGAACAGGCATAAGCCATCCCTGAAGACAACCCCTCTCCCATAGCTTGCACTAAAGGATGTTCTCAACTGAACTCTAGATCACTTGTAAGCAAAGAATCAGAGTACAAAGCACGAGTACAGAGCCGTGTTGCCATACAAATTAAACGTGTGACCAGTGGGCTACTGGCTTGAGCACCACCATGTATCCCAAACTAGATTTTCACTAAGCATGAGTCAGATTCTGTGGGCCCAAGCTACAGGGCATCACTAAACATGTTTAAATGTGCTTCTGTACCCTTGCTATCAAACCTAGTTGCATCAGAACGCTGTGAATTTATATCTTATCTCACAGTGCAATAATCTTTTTACTGCTTTGCGTATCAACTCGGTAATGTGTAAAGAATATGTTTTCTTCTTCTGACTAAAAAGAAGACTGAAGTGGTAAGACTCAGGCATGCGATTACAACAGCTTGTGAACATATTCTGTAGGATTCACAGAATTTAATGCTAGCTGAGAGTATGATTGAAAATGGCTCCATGTTTGACGCTGTGCACTTGAATCCCACATGTTTAGAGCAGTTGTGTGATCTCGTTGTATTGGGCTGGTGACAGAACATTTATATGTGATTTATACAACCATTGTGAAGACATACTTGCAGAGTATATTGTGCGTTCCAAAATCAATGCTTACACTGATTTTCCATTTGCATCTTCAATGATGTTCAGCTCCTTGACAAGAAACTGTCTATCCAAGGGCACTTCAGGCTGGCCAGCTTCTGGAAAATAGATCATACACTCATACAGCAAACGTAATTACCACATCTAAGGACAATTACAGAACTTTAAATTTTAAATACAGATTAGAGCTACCAGTTAAATGCTTTAGCTCTCAAATGTCAGCATTTCAGCACATCCAATGACGATTAATTGCAGTTGTTAAAAAATGCGGGCCTTCTTCATGTCCTTGTTTGTATCTAAGCTGAGGACTGATAAACACACCTCTGACAGCTGACGTGCCTGAACTGCTGCAAATCAGACTATCAACTGCTTTAATACATTAATTTAAATTATTCCTCAAATTTGTTGATTTGTGTGATTTCCATTTTTTAAAATTTTGCTCAAAAGCCAATCAGAAATCGCAACATACGTTTTATATGTACATTATTATTATTTTTATGTACATTTTTAAAATACACATTTTTCAAAACAAAAGCACGTGTCTGGCAAGGTGTTTTGGTTGAGTAGGCTGCCAGCAAACTTATTTGCTCTTGCATTAACTGATCTGTCAATGTAAATGCTGTTTACCTCAAGGATAAGCAACAAAGAACACATTTTCTTAAAAACTAATGGTATAATTTGGCATAACGCTGCAAATAATGTGGAGGGTGTTTGTATCCTATTTGTTTCCAGGGTCAGCCAAGATTGCACAGATTGCACACTTTGTTCCCACTGTTTCAGGAGTTACTCAACCAGGCAGTGAATACCAATTACAGCGGCAGTGACACCACAAACTCGGCCCCAGTACCTGCAGTGAGCACAGACGCTGCGTATTTGTACTTGTTGAATTCCAGGTATTCACGGATCAGCTCATTGATCAGGAGGTTCTCATGAGACAGCGGTGGCCGCGGTTCGCTCTGGTCATCCAACGCATTGAACACCTCAGCTCTGATCCTCGCTTTTATTTGCCCCAAGGCTCCTCTTTTTTCCAGTGTGTCCTTTAAAACTGTTACCATAAAAACTGTTAATATAAACCCAAACGTGCTTGAGCAGCATTCATCGCCCACAATACAATCACAATTCCCGGATAGTCATGGTGAAATTAAGATATCCACACCCGTGGATGATCACAGGGTGACACAGAGGCACTCTTAGGTATGACAGGTATCGCCTACAGATGGAGGCGTTAAGGAAACGTGGGGGAATGTTTCCAAATGAACGACGGAGCGCGTGAGGCTCAGGGCAGTCCCTTACTCCCAACGCCCTGCGTGAGGCGAGCAGCCAGCAGCCCCGTTAGCGCTCGGGGCGATCGGAGGCCGCCCACAGCCCAAGGAGCGTCCGCAAGCCCCTTAGCGCTCCCGCCCGCTCGGCGTCCCGCGGCCGCCACCTGCTTTCAGCTCCGCTATCGTCGCCATCGCCCAACTGCCGCGGCGCTGACCCGGATACGACAAACGGCCGCTGCCTGTCGGACACTGCGCAGGCGCAGAGGGCAACGACGGGCGCCCGCTGTCCCCGCCTCTCAGCGCCCACCGACCAATCGCGCTGCGCGGCGGGCGGTGAGTGACGTGAGAGGGGAGACGGAGTGCTGGGGCGCGCTGTCTGAGGCGCTGCCGCCGAGGCAGCTGAGGGCACGGGGGGGCTGAGGGCGGTGCGCTGCTGCACGGGGAGCGGCTCCCAGCGCCGGGTGGCGCCCTGTGCTGCCGGGATGTCCGCCGGCAAGGGCAAACCGGGATAAACAGTACGCGGTGCACACGTGTACACGGAATTACTCTCAGGTATTTTGTGCGTGCGAGCGGAGGCTGAGGAAGGACGTTCTGGCATTGCTGTAGTGTTTTCCGCTCTAATTTAAAGGGTGTTAGTCTAAAAAAAGAGTGAAGAGAGTCCGTCCCTGGAGAGTTTTGCTCGAGGTCTCTCAAAGATGAACTTTCCATGCACCAAAAACCAGATTCTGGTTAGAAGGACTTGGCTGCAGCCATGCAGTAGGGTTTGTGAGGCTCTGGTGCGGGTTTGGTGCCGGCCTCGCCTTGCTCTGATGAGCTGACAGTGTTTGCTTTTGGATGATGAATTGTTTTCCAGAGGAAGTGCAGTCAGTACGGATGAACAAGTGGATGTGTCATGGTCTGGAAGGAGCACAGCAGCCCGCTGGCCTGGAGTAATGTGGGCGTCCTCTCAAGCATGGAGCCACTTAGTAACCTAGCAAAGTGGTTGTTGCTGGTTTTTTTTTTTTCCCCAAACGTTCCTCTCAAAGCAAACATTCATATTCAGAGTTTTCAAGGAATAGCTAAAAGGGAGCAATGCATACAATTCAGAGAGGAGAAAAAAGAATTCTCCAGAAGTGTGGCTGCAGTGTCCGCTCCTCTCAGGCATGTGACTCAGCCGCACAGCGCTGCCTGCTCCCTGCCTTCCCCTCAGTGCGATCGCTGACCTTCTACATGTGCCATCCATCCCCACAGGCAAACGTTTCTCTCCACTTCCTCCCAAATTTCTCCATGACCTCATGGGTCGTGGCTTTCTTACATGTAATTTCCAATTGATAAGCAGATGTTGTTCTCCATCCCATATTTCCTGCCCAGGCTTAATTTCAAGGCAAAGTTCAGGATCTGGAACAGAATTTCAGGTGCGTTATTTTTGAGATTACAAGGAAAACAGCTTTAAAACAAGACTTTAATGTTTATATAAGTATTAATCTCTGTTTCAGAAGATGCAGTTATAACAATGGTTTGTGTAACCCATGTTCAGAGGCTTTATGGCAACGTGGGATCTTACCCCTGTAGTACTTCAATGGTTTGTCTTTGTGTCAGCTCTATTTTTTTCTTCACAACAAATATTTTGAGTCTTACATTTTTCTGAACTCTTCTGCTCCAGTTTCTTCTCAGGAGCACTGTTTGGGCACTGGCACTGCTGTCCTGGGAAGTGGTGCTGTCATCGTCCCTGGAGGTGTTCAAGAGCTGTGGAGATGTGGCACTGAGGGACATGGTCAGGGATGAGCTGACATTTGGACTAGATGTTCATAGAGGTCTTTTCCAACCTTAATGATTCTTTGATCCTATGATTCTTTGCATTAAATTATTTCCTCTGCATTTTGGCGGCACTTCAGTTAAAATCTTGGCTGTTGATTTTGTTGGAATTTCTAATAGAGATGGAACTAATTGGAAGAGAATTAATTTGAGGTGCAAATCCATGTATTTTTAGATATAAGAACCATCATTCACCTGGTGCATGAACCATACAGGGTCTTCCCATGGCTGAAAAACATTTTGGAGTCCTTGGAAAGCTGAAATCCTGAAAGTGTAACTTAAATGTTATTGCTCTGTCAGCATGCAGTAGTATCTAGAGAAAAACAAGTGGGTAGAAATGTGTTCTTGGCCCTCCTTTCATTTCATGCTTACTTTTCTACATATGTTCTCCATATCCTAAATATTTTTCTGCTGTATCATTTCAAGTACAGGCTTGTGTTCTGTTAACTCACACACAGTATGCGTAGAAGAGTAAGCTCTTAGAGGCTGTGTTATCTATTCAGCAGTTTTTTTCCTGGCTTCTCTTATCAACAGTGCTATAAAAAATTATTCCACCTTGCCTACTGGAACCGGTAACTTTTAGTGATTGTGAGAGCTATCAACTTTATATGCACTGCAGATTAAACTGGAGGCAAAGGCAGTGCTTAGAGCCACGGGGCAGCAGGATAACACCACTGGAGCTACGTCAACTTTTTCAACAGGTGTTGTAGTGAGCATCAAAGTAACAAAAGCCAACGCACCCGTGTCTCTAGCAGGGTTTTAAGATGAATTTAGAGAGTGTACAAAACAGGGCAGAAACTCAATAAAAATAAATCTGAGGAATCAACAGGAGGGCAGCACCGTGAAGATTTTAACAAGGTATCGCTTAGGCTGACTCACTGAGTGTAACTCCTGAAACCCAAATAGTTTTGGCTTTCCTATGATAATTCCGTTCTGTTCATCAAGGAATGCACCAACGCAGCGCAGACTGAGCTCTGCTGCTTGGCGGCTGCACCGGGCTTCCCGGGAACGCTGTGCCGCCCTGCCCAGACACGCCGCAGTGGGACGGGCTGCTGGCCGCAGCTGGCTATGAGCAGCGCAGCCATGAGACCTCCGCCAAGCTGTGCGCCTGAGTCAAGAGGCAATTTGTGACGTGCTTGTTTTGTACGCGCGTTGCTTTTTACTTGCGTGTTCAGCAAACGAGACCCGGTGTTTGTTCGAACAACCTTTTCATTTCAACAGGCGCTCTGGATGCAAAAGAACATTTTATAAGCGGGGTTCTGTCTCGTAACTTCCAAGTCGAAGCCTTGAGATGCTTCTGCAGCTCAGGGCAGCACATGAGCAGCCGCCGCTTCCCGCAGCCGTTCGTACCGCCCGCACCGCCGCGGGGCCGTTCCGCCGTTTCGAGTCAGCTCGGAGCGCCGCTGCCCTGCAGGTTGAACTGATGCACTGAAATTCGGAGCGAGAGACAATCGAGTACCACCGCGGGGCGGCGAGTTACTTCACTAGCACGTATTTTAGTGCAAACTGCGGGTGAAGCTATTTTGGTTCAGTTTCAGTTCCCGCTAGCAACAATTAGAATTAGTTCAGGGTTTTGAAACCAGTTTAACTGGTTCACGCTGAGAAGTGAAACACATGAAAGCGAGACGAGACTCATTTCTCCGGACGGCGCCGGGGCTCTCCGGCTCGGTGTCGGCGCGGCCTCCCGAGGGGCAGCGCGGATCCTGGGGCCGCGGGGCGGTCGGAGCGGCGCGCCTTCGGCGCCGCGGGACCCGGGGCAGGCGGCGCGATCCGCAGGTGCGCGGGCGGAAGACGAGGTGGGGGCGCCGGTTTCGCCGAGCGGGAGCCGAGGCCGTTCCTACTCCGACCGCCCACCGCCCTGGAGCGCGTAGGCGCCGGGCGGCCCCAAGCCGACTCCGGGCGGCCCCGCGTGCCACACCGCCTGCCTCCGCCCACGCCGAGGCGGGGCCGCGCGGCGCGGGCGGCGGCGCCGTCGGGGCCCGCATCCCCGTGACCGCGGAGCCAATCAGGGCGCTGCGCCGGCGCTGCCGGCCGCCGCCGCCCGGGCACGGAGAGGTGCGGAGGGGGAAGCGCAGCGCTGCCGCGGAGGTCCGCGGGTCGCCTCGACGCCACATGGGGATCGAAATCCTCTGTAGCGCGGACGCCTCCGAGCCCTTTTGGGTGAGCGCGGGACGGAGCCGCGGGGCGCGGTGGCTTCGGTGGGGCGGTCGGCAGTCCGTGCCGGGGGAAGCGAGGGGAGAGGTGCGGCCTGAGGGCGGGAAGCGAGGGGCGAGCTCCGTGTGCTGCGGCAACAATAACGGCGGCTGGCTGCCTCCGCGTTGGCGGCACGAAGCGGAGCGGCGTGCTGCCTGTGAGGAGGCCGAAGACGCGCCGCTGCAGGGTAGCGGTCGTGTCGCGTTTGCGTAGCGCCGCTTTGGCTTTTCCTTAACGATCGGCAGTGAGTTTGCGGCCCGCTGTGGGTGAACGGCCGTCCTACGGCACACCGAGCTGGGCTGAGGGATGTGGCGGCGATGCAGCGCGGTGCCGTTCGGTCCGGGGAGGCTCCCGAGTGCCGGAGCAGCGGGGGGGCAGGATGGTGGTGGATTTGCTTTGTGGAGTGGAGCGGTCGTTGAGTGAGGTGATGCGGGGATATGAGGAAAACACGTGGATGTTCATTGGCTGTTGAAAGAACTTGCCGCTGTTCGTCGGATGTTTGCCGAATAGTTCTGAGCTAATGAGCTGCCTTCACCAGTTCGGAAAAGATGAGATAATCTCGGCAGATACCATTGTGCACTTATCTCAAGAACCGTTGAAATATTACTTAGCAAATACTATAAAACCATTAGCACTTGGAGGTGTTTGCCTTTTCTGGCTGATCGAAAGCAACCCGCTCTTACATTGCTGATGTTAATATCTTTTTCCAGTTGATTTTCAGGTTTCTCAAAACTGGCTGAACTGTGAGCACCCATCAGCTGTTCTGGTTTTTCTGTTTTCCCTGGAACCAGGCCTTTGTACATGAAGAGTTTTAGATGCTACAT